AATTGAGCACCTGCGTGTGGGGACAGAGGGAATTGGGGGTTCTTGATTAATTTTCTCCAGCTATAAATTATTTATTGTCTTGTACCAATCTCTTGTCATCCTCTTTGGGACTCCTTTAAACTGTCAGAGATACCTATTTACTTTTAATTGATTGCTACTGTGCTCATTGAGGTTTCCTAGATGACAAACACAGAAGAAATATTAAAACTACTCATATCTAACTACAATAGGAAAAGGTGTCGAAGTACAAATTATTACTAACACTGGAGTCTAATCTTTTGAAGTACTGAATTGCAGATAGGAAGATCTAATTAGCCTCAAAGAATGGCAAGTGAGTTTAAACTTCTTGGGAAAACTTCTGCAGCTGACCCAAACTGAGCGTGGGGATGGACCATCTGATCTCCAGAGGTCCCTTCCCACCTCAGAAATTCTGTGATTGTGTGACAGATCTAGTTAAGCATCAAGCCATCTTTTTCATGGGAAATTAGGAAAGTGAATTGGGCTCCTTAAAATATGCAAAAAATCGGGCAGTTCCACTACTTATCCAATCTGTTTCTCAGCACTGATTCTCTGAGCCTAATAGTACTTGCCTTTTTCATACAGGCATTAGCATATATGTTTAAAAAAACTAAATTCTTACTACATTTTATATTAATGTCATATTATAACTGTCTCTGTTTTAACATATTATGTCTCTGGAATCTGCCAAGCATTTATCTCACAAGATTAATGAGACATTGAAAAAAATACCAGCTCTTCAGACGTTAATTTTGTCAATCTCGCTCACAAAAAGCCCTTGAATAAAAGGAGAAAATTTTTTTTCACCACAGGAAAATACTGTTCACACAGTCATGTGGAAAAACACTACCTGAAAATATCCAGAGAAAAGGAGTAACTGCTGCCTCACAAGAGTAGAATCATTAGAATACACCAAATCAATGGGAGGTCAAAGGTGTGGTACTAGAAAGGTCAGGAAAATGATAACAGCATTTGGAGGAGCCAGTGGAACTGTTAGCAACATAACATCTGGCTGAAGGCTCGATACACTTATAAATGGATTACTGTGAGCCATCATTTGTGGAAAACATCAGGATACAGACAACTTGTATTGTGACTAGCTACTTAAGTGACTTTAAAAAATATTGTAGAGACGCATGGCAGAATTTATAACAACCTACAGTAATATATTAGATGTCTTAAGAGTGTAATTTTTTTAAAGTACTTGAATATAGCTAAAATTTACGATATTGAAATTAGCAGAGGTAAGGAAAACATTCCAATTCACCATATAATCTCTACCAGAAACCCTGGACCTGAAAAAATGTTCTGGCTAAAGAAAGGAAATTTTTGAAATGAGGGCACGCATATCTGCCTTCAAAATATTTATTTATATAGGCCAGAAGGACAGCACACTCAAAATACACATTGTCATACAGGATGCATACAAGGCCTTATCAGCAGAGATCAAAAGCTATACCATCCCATTAGGTTTTAGTGGGGAAAAAAACGATGATACATAGTATATTGCTATATCTAAAGCTCTTGTCACAGTGCTGCTGGCATGTTGTTGCTCAGCATTGATCAAATTACTTTACACCCATATTTTACACATGTGATGGGAGATCCACAAGAAGATAATTGAACTCCTCTTCCCTGGACAGTCAAATTAATCCTTGCACTCCCTTTTCAGTCACTACCTGAATACATTTCAAATGGTTTACTGCAGCCAAATGCAGCCACTGGAAAGTAAACTGTGTAGTCCCTTGTCTATATTAGTACCGCATGCCATTAACATCCTTTTCTGAAACTGATAGGTGAAGAACATGCAATGGAACACAATATCTGCAACAAATATCTTAGATTACTTATCCAGATTTTCTTTTAAAATAATCTATTCAGCTCTGGGCATAATTAGCTCCCTTTAAAAATAATTAATATACTTATTAGAAAATTCTTTTGCATGTTCTTTATCATAGGCATTTGTATTTACACTTGAATTTAAAAAAGATATTTGCAGTGGTATTTGCTCTCCTCAATGTATATTCACTCTCCTCTNATGGATAACATGTTGCAGGGTGAGAGGGGGAAGGGGTCTTTCTTTCCGTCACATCCCGAAATCTTCCGTTCGCCTGTCCCTATCTACTACACTCCTCTCAGAAAAAAACTCTTTCAAAGAGGGATGGCACTTAATCCAAACCATATTTCTGTGTTCAAAGACAGTTGCACCAAAAATAAAATCATCATACCACAGTACCTACGTATACATTGCAATTCTTTAAAGGAAGAATAAGAAGATTCATTCATTTAAATACAATGCATGAAGAACTGGGGGTTTCGTTTCCTAACCAAGTATATTGATAGTATTTTAAATAAGCCATTATCTTTATTGCACCTCTACAAAGACCTTATCATAAACTAGCAGTGCTTAAGGCATACTAAAATTGTAAGGATTTTCTTTCTCAAAGAATTAGCACACTGTCCCTCTGGCACTGTTTAGAAATTCTTCATTTGCTCCACAAACATTAAAGAGATGGAAGAGCATATGTGTAAAGAGGGAACACCAAAATAAGCATTATTTAACTGCATTCAAAATCACCCTAATTTTTAAAAATTATTTCTTGAAGATTATTATCATGTAAGACAACTAATAATACAAAGGACAGGAAGTTTTCAAAATTCAAACCTAAGTGGCAAAATTTGTAAACATTAGTGCTTCTGCACCATGGGATTACTTTTCATTAGCAATTAAATCAGCCTTTTAAAGCAATTACAATTTCTGTGGATCAGCCCTGTCATTTTTCTCTCTTTCATTTCTCTATTAGTCTGTTGTAGGTAGACAAGTGGTCTTATACCAAGATAGTGTTGGAGTCAATGACAAGATATGTCTATTTTCTTCTTATTCAAAACAGTTTTAGTAATTTCACACCCCTCCATATAAAGCAGATTTCAGCTTCTTCAGAAACTTGACCAAAGGGTGTTGAGCTCTTGTTCCAGCTGACTCCCGATTAATGAAGATCGCTAGTTTCAACAGGGATAAGGAGAGCGTACCAGATCTAGAATGGATCACAAAGGGACAACATTTTGTATAGATGAGAACAAGAAAATCTGGATCAGCTATTTGAGCTCAAAGAAGACCTCAGCCTGGTTGGAGGTCCTTAGGATGGACGCTGCTCTGCAGAACTGGGCCCATGCTTTTCATAAAAAAATTTCTTCCTTGTGTCCAATTTAAATCTACCCTCTTCCCTCTGGACCCACTCTAAGAGATCCATGTCTTCCATTTTGTTAGGACTCCAGATCTGTATGTAGCTCTCCAAGTGGAATTTCACAAGAGCAGGATCAGAGGGGCAGAATCCTCTTCCTTGCCCTGATAGCCACACTGCTTTTGATGGAGTCCAGGACAGGGTTGGTTCTCTGGGCTGTAAGTGCAGACTGCCAACTCATAAGCAATTTTTCATCCACCACTCCTCCTCAGGACTGCTCTCAATCCATTCATCCCCAGTTCATGCTGGTAATGGGGATTACCCTGACCCAGACACAAGACCTTTCATTTGGCCTTGTTGAGCTCCATGAGAATTGCCTGGGCCCAGTCCTCAATATTGTCGAGGTCCCTCTAGATGGCATTCCTCAGGTATCAGCTTCACCACTCACTGTCATCTGTAAACTTGCTGAGGTTTCACTTGACTCCATTATATATGTTGTTGATGAAGATATTAAATGGGTTTTGTCCCAGTACAGACTCTTGAGGGAGACCAAGAGTCTGGTTTTCACTTGGACATTGAACATGTGACTGCAACTCTTTGCATGTGACCATCCAGCCAATTCCTTATGCATATGACAGTTCATCTATCAAACCCTTATCTTCAATTTAGTGGCAAGAATATTGTGGGAGACCATATCAAAGGTCTTACAAATGTTCAGATAGATAACACCTGTTAATGACTTCCCCTATCTACAAAAGCAGTTACTTCATTTTAGAAGACCACTAGATTCATCAGGCACAGTTTGCCCTTGATGAAACCATACTGGCTGTTTCTAATTACTTCATCTTCCATATGTTTTGACATAGCTTCCAGGAGATTCTGTTCTATTATTTTATTACATATTGAGATGACATGACAAGTCAGTAATTCCCAGTATCCTCCTTTTAACCCTTTTTTAAAATGGGTTTGATATTTCCTTTTTTCCAATCACTGAGGCCTTGTTTTTGTAGGAAACAAATACTGAGGAAGCTGATGTCATTGTGATGCCAATCTCAATTACTTTTGAAGGTTCATGATGATTAGTGTAGGTTCCTTAGGGGCTGGAAAAGCAAAGGTCATCCCTACCTTCAAGAAAGGTAGGTAGGGTTCAGAGAATTACAATTCAGCTGCATCTAAGTCTTGGAGAATACAATGGAGCAAATAGCCCTGGAAACCTTCTCCAAATGTGTTAAAGGAAAGAAAGTTATAGGATTGGTCAGCATGGATATACGACAGGGAAGTCAAGCCTGATCAACCTTGTAGCCTTCACAACAAAAGGACTAGCTCAGCTCAGGGGGGAAAAGGGGGAGCAGGAGGCAATGAGAGAAGTGGCTGTTGCTTATTCCAACTTTAGTAAGGTTTTCAAGACTGTCTCCCATATCCCTTTCATAGACAAAATGAGGAAGTGTGGAAAAGATAAGTGGAAAGTAGTGTGCACTGAAAACTGGTGGAACCACTAGTGTCTGAGGGCTGTGGTCAGTGCCATGAAGACAAGCTGTAAATCATTCTGCAGTGTGTCCCTAGCTCAGTGAAATTTGTATGCATGAGACTGGCACATTTATGATAAAGTAATTTCTAATCATAAGTGTTTTAAACACAAGTGTCTCTAAGATTCCTTCAGAAAGAAAAATACTAGTGCCAAGCAAACATTCATTAAAAACAATGTAGATCTTTATCTATGGTATTTCTCAGACATTCCTTCCAGCCTTTTTTTTTCCAGTTACAACTGTCTTTCTAATAGTATGTGAAAATGAAACTTACCCATAGGGACAGACACCAGGCTCAGACTTTAGATTTTCTGTAATTCAGTTTGAAAATAAATGTCATTAGAGAGTATGCTTTAATGTTATCTATTTATGTTTTATCACAAATTGCAGAATCCCAAAATAAGTTTTATGAGCATTATGCTACCCACAACAGTGTAAATACATGGTTAGTTACACCTACACTTGGCTTTTATACATCCTTAAGACTTCAAAGTAAAATAAAGTTTAATTTTGAAATACAGAGGGTCAAAGATAGAGCTCTGAGTAACCTGGTCAATTGAAAAATTGCCCTGTCCACAGAAGGGAGGTTGGAACTAGATGATCTTTAGGTTTCTTCCAACCCAGGCTATTCTATTAATATGATTCTGTGAAATAAAAGCAACTGTCTGGGCAACATACAAGAAAAACAAAGAAGAGTTCATGCTGATGCAAAGAAACTGTAAAACATAGTTCATTTAAGCATTTTCTTTTTTAAGATATGAGTAAAAAAAAAAATATCCAAACAGAATGGTAAAGGAAATGCAATGCAATGAACAAGAAGGGTAATACAGCTGAGATGCTAAGTGGATCAAATCATAAAGATTAGTGGAAAGGAGGGAGAAAGACAGAAAAAGAAAAGGGAAGATGATCTGCATAGGGATTCCATGGACCAATTGTGTAGAACAGCAAATCTAGCAGTTCTGGGCCACCATCTCTGAGCTCAGCTCTGTCATTCTTCATTAATGGATTCTAAGGCCAAGTTTCTCCTGAAATTAATTGCTATGTATTTCCAAAATTAGAACAACCAGTGCTAATTCTCTCTGTGGTGAAGGTAGCTTTTGCCCTTGAGCATGGAATGATCTGGGAAATGAGTTATCATTCAAATGCTCTGAAGAGGAGATATGATGCTAGTAGAGAAACAGACACTGGCATGTGCAGCAGTCATGAGTAATGCTTCATTTACTTCAATAGCTGTCTTTTTCCCTCTCTCTCCTTCCAAACTCCTTCCCAGTTACTGATTATTGCTGCACTGAGGTGAATTAGTGATGCTTTAAAAAGAAGAGGAAAACAGCATAGTAAAACATCTAGAATGCAAAATATGAAACATACAGCGTTGAAAAGTAAAATTGCTAAATTAATAAATTAAAAGCATATTACCACTTACTCTTCCACTTCATCTGACTTAACACTATATGCATACATACAAAGAGATGTAGAGAAAAATTTAAAAAAATATTTTTAAAATTGTTTAACATAGCCCAGTTAAAGTTTAAATTTATAAAATGCTTCTGTATCGGGTGGCATCTTTGCCCTCAGCATGGGGGTGGAAAATAAAAAAATTTAAAGTTCCTTCCAGACCATCATCCTATGAGTCTGTAAATGTTTGCATTTATGTAATACCTATTATGTACTTAATATTTTATTTGGGATAGAATAGACACATGGGGAAAAATCAAATATTAAATATAAATTCATTGAAGTTGGAGTTATAACTAGACACACCTTGTGGTATATGAACAACATATATTTTTATTAATTTATTAAGCAATTATTCTATTGCCACTTGTTCTAGAGCAAAATATGCAATTCAGCTCAAAGTAGCTTCAGTCACTGCAAAGTTGATTTCTTTAACAGAAATCTAAATAAAAATGGTGGCTTGATGTATGCATCAAATGTACCCTCATGTCACGACCAAGAAAAGGATGTGACACAGTGATTGGTCCTTTTGACTGCTTTGAGCCATACACAGAGGAGATATGTTCAGTTAAAGAAATAATGTTAAATCCTGTGTAGAGCTAAAACTCCAGACTTCAAGTATGGCAGACATAAATGCCAACATGTCCTGCTTTGATCTGCTGATCCTTCCCTACTGGATTGAATTATTTACTGATGTAAATTTAGCCCATAATTTCTGGTACTTTACATTCAAATTCCTGCCATTGATGGGTTTTATATAACAAGGACTGTTCCCATTAAAATTTTTACTATTGCACAAATTACCCTGATTTTTTCTGCCCCCAAATCAACTGTTTAACATCTCAGATCCACTCTGTAATTTCTCTCTGAAGAAACACATTTCTCCATCTTTTTATGTCAGCAGGAGCTGAACTTCTTGTGATCCTCTGGATTATACAATGTTCAACTCAATGTATCTTCATTGGTCCCAACTGGTTTTCATCAGCCTCATCTCTCAGTATGTTCTAGAAGATATATGCATTTTCATACTAAATGAAACTGAATTCATTCATTAATTTTGACACAACATTCTTGAGAGCAGATCCCCTCAGTGTGGGACAGAATCAGAGAAGCTGTGCAGTAGGAGCCAGAACATGGCAGAGGAATACTGCCCCCAGTTTTTACATCTTTGTTAGACTAAACTTTTATTTCCTTGCTCTATTAAATCTCCTACAACTATCAAGCTGGATTTGCTGTGTCTGTATACTTCTTCCTAATCTTCTTTGACACAATTCTCTTTGTCTTCATATCTATTCACTGTTATTCCCCATCCTTGCTCATATTGTCACCAACAGGTGGACAAATCAAGTAAACCTTGGAAACATGTTCACTGCAGCAGAAAACAAAAGCATCCACATCAAAAAAAGAAAAGCAGAAAAGAAGAAAAATGTACATTGAATTGCAGTTTCATTAATGCACTCAGCCTTTATCTGAGATTTTGTGAGGTAAATGGCCCAAATCAGGGTACAAAGACATTTGAAAATGCATATATATCTTAAGGGTCTGTATGGTATTTGGCTTTAGAACAATTATTGGAGAATTCAATTAATTTTGCAGAGTACTTTATGCTGATCTGTACATGTCATAAAAGAGAACTTCAGGCAAAAATAATGCTGTCTTTTGGCATGAACATTGCAAAGCAAAGCAATGTCTCCTGCGACAATCTCTCCTGCTAGCATTTCCTCTAGCAGCTTGGGGGATTGGAGGGGAGGCAAAGGTGGGAGGGATTGTGTTGCTAGCACTGAATACCTTTCAACTCGACAATTACCTTTGAGTAATGGCTCTTGAGTAACCATTTTGGAATGGGATCCTTCAGCACAAAGGCAGCCTGTATATGGTCAATCTGAAAAAAACAAAGAACTGTGTGGGTGCACTGACAAGTTAAAGCCAATTAAGTTGTCATCAACATTTCGCAATTCAATATTGTAATGTTCTGAATTAGACAAAATAAAATAACTTCATGTAAAATTCCTTTCTGCATGATCTTAGGAAAAGCTCTGAACAACACAGTGCTATTCAAATGATCTGAAGAGAGCGATAACCTAAAAAAGCAAGACTGGTATTTCTAAATGACTAGTTTGGTCCAGTGAATGTAATGAAGGGGCAGGAGAGCTGAAATCTCAGAATAGAGATATTCTAAAACCTCACTCATACTAACTGAGTAAAATAGAAAGAAGTCCAAGTGCATCAATAAATCTGCCTTAAAAAATCTGTTCTGCATCTGGATGAAGCCATGTCATGGCAAACTACCAGAACCCAATAATGTCTCTAAATTAAATTAACAACTCGCTTTTCAAAAAAAAAAAAAAAAAAAAACAAAAAACAAAAAAACACTAACACTACAAAGTGCTAATGAGCAAAAAGATCAGGCTCAATGTTTTTGCCTCCTTCTATAAACCTTCATTTCAGTGCAAGGACACAGGAGAAAGGAACATTTTGCTGCACAGTTATCAGCATCTCTAATATATGCCTTCACCCACTCAATTTAGGATTTTGGGAAGAATTCAGTTGCCTAAACATTAGTGTTTAATGACTTTTGAGGCACTCCAAAGAAGTAAAGATTTTTCCATAAGGACAACAGATACAACACTGGACTTTAAGAGGGAACTGTACCTTTCAGTAACAACTGGGAGCCAGGCAGTACAGCCTACAGCCTCATGAGCAAAAGCTTAGATACAGAACTCAAGTGCATAAAGCTATCAAGGTACTTACGTCTAGCCTGACTCTGTCAGACACACACAGCATAATGACAGGTCTGATGAGTAGGTCTGAAGGACAGTAAGCATGAAATCATCTCAAAGAAGGAATTTCCTTCCCATCCTCCTTTCTCCTTCAGCAATGGGCTGTTGGCACTGTTAAATTTTGTTGATATTTAATAAAAGCTAACATCTGTGCCTTGCTTGCCTGCAATTACAGAGCTTCATCCTAGGGCCACTTTGGAGCTTCTTACAAGCACTGATGCTTGAAGCAAAGCTATAACAAAGGGATAGATTGACAGTGTTTTTCTGCCTCTAGCTACCTTCATTTGCTCTTTTTTATTTTTATCTGCCTCATATTTGCCTTATATTTTTGTTGGCCACCCTAAATGACCAGCCTGCAGCAATGGTAGCCCTGTAGGAGACCATTTGATCAATTCTCTTTTTATGCAAGGCTTCCCAGGAGCAAAAAATATCAGTGAAGAATGTTTCCATGCCCCAATTACATGCAAAAACACATCACCACAGCTACAACACTGTCAGATCTGCTGAATTGGCTGGAGAGAATTATAGGGATACTTTGTCTGTAAGCCATGGTAGATAATGCAAAAGTACAGCTTAGAATTGTTAACAATGAACTCATTATAAGAAGGTTATCTCAGAATTTCTCTATAAAGCTTCTTTAGGGTTAAAATTCACTTCAGATCATGTTCAACATCTGTCAGCAAGAAGCAAAAACTGGAGAAAAAAAAATCTATCCAATTTTATCCATTCTTACCTCTCTAAGAGTCTTGTGGAACTGCTAGATGACTAAGAATAACTGATTTAGAACCTCACATTTAGAAAAAAGACAATATGAAATAAGATAATAGAGGACAGAAGAGAAAATGTAAAAGGAAACTAAAACAGCTCAACTGACATCTGAGTTTTATTGAACCAGGCATTCTTTCACTATCTAGCAAGCATTTCCTACTCACTTAAATTCAAATGTTTCTTGATTTTTCTGGCTCTAATTATTCCAGTTTTTCTGCAATTCAAATGTTGGCCTTTCCTGAGTCATCATTGTTAGTGATGATCATTTTTATAGATCATTATTAAATTAGATTT